CAAAGAGATCTGGTGACAAGGTGGTGACAAGGTACACGGTATTGGCACGGTATGGGTCTTTAACCGATCCTGTCAAACAGGTTACAAAACACCACTACAATTTTGTTGACCTTCCCTTCGAGTCGAGCAGATACCTTCGGCAGACGCTTGGCATCATCCACCAGCAAGGTATCAAGCGGAATGCTATCAGGGAGGATCACATACCTTAGCGCTCGAAGTAACAATGGCCTGAAAGCTCTGACAAACTTTTCTTGGGGATGCTGGGCCGAACTGGTTCTCTGGGTCTTGGACCGCACATTGTTTCCTCGGATGGTGAGGTGATCCATGGAAACAGGAGGCTTGCCCTTGACGGTGAACTTGATGTTCTTCATGTGCACGTTCATTGACATGTCCACACCTAAGTGAGGGCAAAAGCCATGACGTCATCAACATCACCAAACGCTAGAAATGCCTATGTTTTGTAGTGCCTCAAGCGGGAGTGCTGAGAGCCACACCTGTGATAGTTCCCTGTGCCAAGAATTCGGAATGCGGTCGTGTGGTAAGGACGTGCAACTGCCACTATCAAGGGTCTGTTCCAACAGCTGGCCTGTACCACCGTGCTGTTCTTCAGCTCAACGACCACACTTTCATTGCTCAGCTTCATCAAGAACCTGCACACCATAGGATTCACATCATCCAAGTCCCACCACCTGCCGCTAGGCTGTTTTTGTGAAAGCTTGTTTTATAGCCAACCTCCCCCTCCCTACTTAATTAAGTAAGGGAGACTAGTTCGCTACTAGGCTAAGTTAGCTGTTAGCTCCTACCTACTGAGCTCACGTTTCTTCAAGGAAGCTCCCCGCCTGAGGGCGGGGAGAGCTTCCTTGAAGAAGCGCTCGCACTAATCATTTGGTTCCCCTGTCCCTAAGAAGTAAAAAACTTGCTGTTTGGAGGTGTGGTGTTCACACGAACGGCCCGCCTAACGAGCCTCATCGCTAAGGACCTTGGTGTCGCTCAGTGGCTGGGGACCGACCAGAGACGGTTGCGCGAGCATACGCAAGCGCCGGGCCAAGCCGAGCTTGCAGTGGGCAGTGGACAAAAGAGAACCTAATAGCGATGGCCTCCATTCTAGTAGCGATGGCCTCCAACCTAAGAGCGGTGGCCTCAAACCTACTAGCAATGGCTTCCAACAAGCGCCGGGCCGAGCCGAGCTTGCAGTGGATCGTCCTGGATGCCAACGCGAGGCTTTCCACTAGCAGCACTACCAGCTTCCAGCCACTACAGATGGGAGGTGATGCAACGAGGAAGGCAAAATCACAGTGTCGCTCAGAATTGAAGGAAGCACGTATAGCCCGGGGTAAAGGGCCAGAAGTAGATCAAAAACTGAGGGGATGGCCAGGAAACAAGACCTTTTGCACCACCAAAAGGCAAGTGAAACTGGACAAATCCTTCCCACCGCGACAGTCAAGAGTCGATCCAGTTTCGGTCCTGGTGCGTCACGGCCCCAGCAATTCCCACCCTTCGGGAGATTTCTTCAGCCAAGACAGCGTCAGCCTCCTTTGGGTGAGAGGGAAACCTTGAAAAACAAGAACAAACAAAGAAACAAATACCCTTGTAGTCATTGAGGGGTCCAACTATTTAGATACACCGCACCTCATAGTTGGGGCCTTTGATGGATGGAACAGAGAGGGAAAGCTTCTTTTCATGCAAACTGAAGGGATCCAGTGTGAGTCATGTGAGTCACCTTGTTTCACCTTGTCAAGCTATCAGCCAGCAGACATTCTTCCTCAAGCGGAATCTCCATGCGGCTTCTGCCATTTGCAGAGTCCGGTGAAACACGCTGGCAGTTCTAGGTCTAGGACTTTTTAACCCTCTTCTTCACCACCAGCTGCAGCCGCCTCCGCCTGAGAATCTGAAGCCGCCGTTGGAAGCGTCTGGGCACTGCTCAATGATTTGTCTAAGTAACATGTCCGAGAGAATCCGGCTCATGCACAATTATAGCTCTCTAGATGCGTCACATCTAGACCCACGGCTCTGGGTCAAAACTGCATTTCAACCCCAGCAGTTCGAACAATCTGGCTGGTTTTGATCCTTTCATTTCGACATGCTTTCAAATGATCTGGAAAATGTGAATGAACTGGACACATCCTTTTAGACGTGTTTCTAGCCATCGCCACTAGGTTGGAGGCCATTGCTATTAGGTCCAGCTCTTCCAGCGACTTGAACACTGAGGCAGCCGATTCGTCACCCCCAAACCACGCGACGTCGCCTCTGCGGCCGCAGCTGCAGCTTCGGCTGCCAGGCGAGCATCTTCTTCGGCCTGGTTGGCTACGCGCACATGCATAACAAGCCTTGCAAGAGCAGGAAGGAAGAGGTAAGAAGAGTTTGTTCTAATTGAAAAACGAGCTCATACATGTTTTAAAAAGTGATAAACCCTCAACTGCCTGACTGTCCACGTGCCCAACTCATCTTCACAAGCGAATAGCTGGTACAGCATGGCACATCAAATGTCTGGTAGGTCCGTGTCTTGTTTCCCAAACAGCTGACCTTGGCCTTCACAGCTTCCACCAACTCTTCCGCCTGACACACAGCATTGGATGTGGCTGGGCCCCCAACAGCACCCAAAGGCTGCCAAGTCAACAAACCGACGGCCGCTGGAGCTCCCGACGCTCAGCCATGCAAAGGTCAATTCTGCATGGCGGCTGTTTTGTGGAGTTTGCAAATCCAAAAACTAACCACTTCCATTTACATTTGGGATCATGAGAGGAGAAGGTCAACATAAAAGACCTCGTGATCATGGGAAGCTCCGTCAGATCAGGCAAGGGTGAGACAACTGCAATGTTTGGCACGCTGCAGCTTTAGAACAAGTTCTGAAAGGGCGTCAAATGCCGTCCACACTCATGGTAAATCATCCCTCCTCGTCCTCCTCGTCCTCGTCTTCCTCGTCCGCCCCTTCTGGGCACTCCTCGTCTTCCTCGTCTTCCTCGTCCGCCCCTTCTGGGCACTCTGAGCGATGAGCTTTTTTGCAGCGATCGCACAAGAGCGCGTCACAGCGCTCGCACCTAAAGCCATGGCGGCCACAACAGCTGTGCCAGCTGTCTGTATCTGAGCATTCGCAGCGAAGTGTCTTTTCCTCAAGGAAGCACTCCCGGCAACAAATTTTGGAGAAATCTGGGCATTGCTCACAAGGCACCTCCCTCTTGGAAGGCCCGCGTTCAGCACAGTCATCACACCATTTCCCCTGGCATCCTTGACATTCAAGACTATCGAGGTCAGTAGCACCCCACTCGCCACACTTATCGCACGCAATCGCATCATGCTTGGTAATCAAAGTGTGCAGCTCATAGAGTCTCAAGAACCAATCTTTGGCTGTGTCGCCATCTTTGGTAGGCCAACTTACTTTGTCTCCCCGTTGAGTTTGCCAATCGTCAGGGTCAGTTGTGCAGGCCTTGCAAAGTGCTTCCCAGACTTCTTCCTGTTCGATCCACTGATGCTGTGTCTTGGAGCTTACCTCTGCACGCACCAGCTCTGTAGCATCACAAAAAGGCAAAATTAGTCTCAAGCATCGTGCAGCTTCCATGGCACACGCTGGAACGTGGGCTGAAGAGTGATTCGGTCGGGGAATTTGAAACCGGTTGAACCGTGAGTGGGAACCACAACACAATTTGCGTGGATCCCAATTGAGATGGCCACTCTCAACAGTTTGGGTCCCATGTGTGCTCTTTGTCTTTGTACAGTGGATCGATGTTCTGAGTTAGGCGGTTCGATTTGAACCTGCAGAATGGTAGGAGATTCATCTACCATGAGAGTACAACGTGGAAGTGTCTGCATTATAATAAAGAGAGAGAGAGAGAGAGAATCCCTAGTAGGTACTGTATCACCTTCTCAAGCACTCACACAGTCCAGCCTTGGCCACCGCTGCTTCTCGATCTTCCTCCGTCACTGGCCTTCACACATGAAGATCCTCTAATAGCTTCTTGTTCCTAGTAGCGATGCCAGGAGCCCCTAGTAGCTTCTTGTTACTACTAGTAAGGCACCTGTTCGTACTAGCGATGCACTTGTTACTACTGTTTTTGCTAGCCAAAATCTGTATCAAAGGTCCAAGCGCCTCGCTTTTTCTAAGTACAGGAAAGCTGTACATATGTGTATAGTATATAGGAACTCTTCTGCGTCAACGCTGACTGAAAACTAGCACAGTTGACAGTTGAGTTAAAGCATCTACTCTAAACTCCTGGCCAAACTCCTTTCAAGTTGCGTGCAGAAGCAGGAAGTGAACACAAATCATATCAGAAAATATCAGAAAAGGAATGGCTGCACACTTTAGAGCTTCCTCTGGTTGTTTTGGAACTCGCTTGTGGGTTCATCTAAGCGTGCAACTCTCCATCAATGATCTGTACTTGTGGCGCCACAACCATAACCTGTACGAGACTTCAAGAGGCAAGGGCGACACCGAATATCGAAGGCTCTGCTTGGGAAAGCACTGAAAATATGGCCAAATCATATTTGCATGGCATATACAAGAGTGCTGATGCACTACCTAAAGCTCTTAGCGTCTTTCACTTTGTAATTCGCTTCCCCACAACTACCTATCCCATGGTCACATGGGTCATCGTTCGTTTGGCAAACAACTCACAACATACAAATCATAACATGTCGCAGACCGCAGCCGTGTTGACTGGAGCGTTTTGGGCGAAGTCCCACAAAAGCGTGACCATTTTGAGCTCTCTGCAAACTCTCTAGAAGCCTCCACCAGCAAGCGACACTCGCTTCAGAAGTTGCACATCTGGAAGTCAATGTGTCTTTGGGGCTCTCTGCAACATGCAACACCGCAACTGCTTCTTCCAGTGAAGCAGTTGCAAAACTGATCACCAGCTGTTCAGGATAGTGGCAATATTGGTCCTTCCAACATAAACAGCATCGTCTGCTGCATCAGAACCTCAAGAATCAAGAACTTCTTGCCCTTGCTCCACCGCCACAGTCAGGGCGTCCCTCAAATGACTGTACAGACTTGCTGGTCTTTGCCTGGTGGCCTGGTGATGAACATGGGCTGAAATACAGCGGACTCCATTTCCAGTTGTGGACGGGGGAGGTGCTGGCATGCCATACCTGGGCACATGGAGGTAGACTGAGACGACGGTGGTTCAAGCTCTCAGCGCCAGCCAGAATGGGAGCTGGAAAGGACAGCCAAATTTCTGCAGTTCTTCCACCAAACCAATCATCTCTTCCTCGCCTTGGGGCGGGTGGTCTGGAAAGAAACCTCGAACATTCCAATCAAATCGTGCCTCGCTGATTTTCTTCATGTGTTCGAATTGGATGATGATCAGTTGACTTGTTTACCCAAATCATTGGCTGGGACTCCAAGACGATATGCCAAAGGATTCCTTGCACCTGATTCTGTTTTCGTTGACCTAGAGACTGCTTGTCCCAAAAAAAAGAACTTGGCCGAATGCTACTGAGTCTCTGGAGAGCAGCATCGCGTTGTCGGGATTGTAGCTCCACTGCAAAGTGACCCAGTCCACCTAACCGTAAGGGACATGTTGGGCGCAGCGTCAGCGGATTTGGGCATAGCCTATTGAGAATCAGTCATCAGTCAATTGCCCTGGATTTGTTCACATCCCAACAATCACCACATATCGTTTTGACGTCACCTGATCATGCACCAGGCCAATGACCATCTCTCCTGGAAAGCACCGCCGCGCAAACTGCACGACCAGCCTTGTTGGGCCCTGCCAACAGGGCAAGAGGATCGTGACAAGAAGGAACCCATGCTACCCTCCAAACATAATGCACAAACCATGGCAGATCCCCCCTGCGTTTGGAAGAAAATCATATGCCCAACCACAAATGTGTGTGGCAAGTTTCTAGTTTGTAGTACAACTCAGAGGGTGCTCTATCATCTATGGGTATGGCATGGCAAGTTGCCATTGAACTTTTGCGAAGCTTCTTGTTACTAGTAGCTTCTAGCTACTAGTAGTACTGTAATGCCCTTGTTACTAGTAGTGATGCCCTTGCTATTACAGTAGTAGCTTTCTGAACCGTCGCCTGAGGTAAATATCTTCGCAGGCAAATGAGCAAGTCGAGATACCATCTTCTCTGCAGACTGTAATCAGCAGCCGCTGGCAGTGGTGGTGCCAAAACACCTTAGCTTAGCCTACATTACACTGGCAGTTCATCATCACTGTGTGTTTCATAATTGTCTCTTATCTTCCTGAAAACTTCCAACCTCATCCCCACTTAGGCCTTCCAGTTCGGAAAATACTGTCTTTAGCAAAAAACGATCAGCAGCCCTCACTGTCGTGCTCCATCCTCCCACTGAGGCCTGATCGGAGTCTTTGGATGGCATCAGCCTCGAGTGCGAACTTGCGGAGCTTCTTGCACCCCAAGTCCACGGTCACCTGGGCAAAGGCTCTCATCGTGTGAACCCGAAAGAAACACTCTGCCAGTTGATCACAAAACAAAAGGCACATGATAGCTCATATGATAGCTCATATTAAGCACCTTCTTTTCGTGGTCGATGTCAAACCGCTGTAAAAACAGGTGCAATTTATCTCAACGGTTGTATCCCGCAGGTGCAGCATGTTCTCCATAAATTGGTCCATAAACAGCATGCCTCATGGCCATTGCCTACTTGGCAAATGCCAGATCACCAGATCAAAGGAAACTATGGAAACCAAGCCTTGTGACCAGTGATCGTTACATCTGGCTGATCAGCATCTTCAAAGCAAAGAAGGCCTTCTTCCAGGTCATTCTCGAACTCAATCTCTATTTTGCCGACCAAATGTGGTTTTGTAGCTTCAAAGCTGATCCTCTTGCCCTCTCCCCCGCGAAAAAAGTTGGAGCTGAGGTCTGCTTCAAAGCCGGCTTCTGCACACCCCAACGTCAAAGCTCTCACCAACAAATCTCCATAGTGGCCAGGATCCCAAAGGCATTCCACATCTTCTTCCTCTGATCTCACATCTCTCAACAAATTCAATAGACATCGAGCGTAGCTCTCCACTCCATGCGCAAAGAAGTGACCAAGACTGATATCATCCGATTCAGCTTCCACCAATGTAGCAACCTGGGGAGGAGACACTTTCTCAAATCTGAGCCCAGAATTGAGCACTGGTTCTGAGACCCCTCCCTGTGTGTTTCTTGTTAATCTCCGTTGCTTCTACTAAACTACTTAACCTAGTCTCACACTGAATTGTGTTTCATCACACACTGCACCCAAATCCCACAGCCTGTCCCGGCACCACCGCCAGGAACTGATACTGTGGGCTGAACTCATCGCACAGCTCCCGGGAGAAGTCTGCTGTGAGGACCGGCAAGCTTCGGCCTTCTTGACTCTGGCACCTCAGCCGAGGAGCAACCACTGACACACCAAGCACATCTGGGCCAAACATGGCCGAAAGAGAAAGCGAAAAGCCCGAAAGCCACGCAAAGAAGACGAAGAATGCTGAAAAAAGGTGCTTGCTTTCTCTGATCCACCCAATTATTCAATTGGTCTACCAAAAACGCATCCACAAGCAATGACCAACATCAGGCGTTCGATCCCAGAAGCTCAATCAACTCAAAGAGCAGGGAGTACTTGCCCCCGAAACATCTGCATCGTGGCAAATCCACCGTCCAACTTCGAACCTTCCAGCCGCTGCCAGTGGCGCTGCCAGTGGCCTCCAGGATCAAACCCTCTGCATCGATACCCATCAGTCTTGAGCCGATCAGTCGGCAGCACGGGACTGTTAAGAGATCCGACTGTGACAAGGCAGCACACGCAGTTGGTGGCTTCAGATTCTCCCTCCGTCGGTCCTTCTGACCACTGACCACCTTGGTGTCCCAAATGTCCGATGCCTCGATCCGAAGGTCGCCCGTGTTGCCGGCAATGTTCAAAGAGTGCCTGAAAGTGGTGAAACAAAGGTTTTCTGCAAAGACTCGGTTGGCTGTTGGCTGCAACGACAGAGACCCTTCCAGCTGAGTCGATACAGCAAAAAAAGAAGAACTTCCAGCTGGGACACCACAATCTGCACTAGGTCATTGTCTGTAAGAACTAGTTCACTGATTTCACCCCTGTGACTGTGGGTTTAAGTCTTCATTCAGTTCATACATATTCATGATCCCCATGGCCACTGCCTAGGCTTCCCGGCAATGTCTTTTCAGCCCCAAGGCGCTTCAGCTCCGGAAGATTCCTCGGGGAGTCCAGCTGAAGCTTGTGACAGCGGCTTGGCAAAGAAAGAACGAGGATCTATTGTGCTGAGTAGGTGAACAACAATGTCCTGAAGGCCGCTTGCTGCTCCACACAACAACAAATGACACTTGAAACCCAGGAAAGATCATGAAAGATCGATGGACGCCATACGCATCAGATCACCGACTGCCGACTGGTTAAGACAGCTGTCTTAACCAGCTCCTTCCAGGTCCCCACACGGATCCTCAGCGCTGAGTTGGTTCTCAGAGACATCCAACTCCTCGAGGCACCGTGACAAGCTCGCTCACTTGAGCCACTCGCTGTTGTGCAAAAAGAATACGTTTGGTTTGGCTATTAAACCTTGCAAAGGAACTGCAAGGTACAAGGTTGTTATATATCTATATATGCTCTTTATGTTATATTTGTGGGGGTCAGCTACCTTAAACTACCGGCAACACCCCTGAAATGGACTGCAGTTTTACTCACCGTTGTTCTCTTTCGACTTTGTCTGGTAGATCATGCCTGCCTCAAGCAAGACCCTTGTACTCTGTTCACCTCTATGGAAAGACCAGAACAGCCACCCTCAGGAGGGTTCCACCCAGGTGGCCCCTGAGCAGCAAATCCAATCTCAGACCTACCACCAGCCTGGCCCAGTCACCACAGCTCTCAGAAAAAATCCTACATCTTCCGGGGTGTTCATATCGTGTATGCTCACTCTCCCTCTTTAACATTGGTGCGAAAAACCATCTACATATATATATATATACACACAGTATATAGCGTCCTCTGCCTTGATCATGCAAGAGTGAATCATGCTTCGAAGGGGTGCAGGATCTATTCCGCTAACGTAGGGCTATGCAGGTCCATAGACTGCTCAAATGGGTGGCATGCCATGAACTATGTGATGGGAAATGCCAAATGAACCAAAAATGACCAAACCCATTCTGTTTGCTGTTCCCGAGGTTGGAGTGCTCATGTGGGAAGGACTTGGCAACTCTAGCTGACACTAGCAGATCTCATTCAGCAGCAAGCTGCATAGTTCATAGAGCAGAAACCATTCAATCTTAAATCGAAACGGTTTACGGACTCCACTAATAGTAAATAGTCCAAAGATCCCACAAAGTCAATCCAGCTGCTGTTGTAACAGGTTTACGGTCCAATTTCTCCTCACACACCGGAGCTTTGTCCAAATGCTCCAAGACGGCGAGCTGATTTTTGCCTGATTCAATACAAAAAGACACGAGACAGTAGGGATGTGCTAAAATAAATGAACAGCGGGTTCCAATAATAATAGTCTCTTCCCAGGTGTGGGGGTGTTTTGAGTCTTCCCAGGTGTGGGGGTGTTTTGAGTTTGACCCCACATCGAATAAAGGGCCCTAAACCAAGTGCGCATACCGACATACGCCTCCTTCTTGTTTTGGAGTGACATGCACCCACAGAGATGCCAGTTGCCACTGCCCGTTGCCACTACTAAAGTAGTCGGCAACAAGAGAGAGTCTATTCTACCGCTGCTTGGTCAAGTCCACTTTTTTAAACATAAAGGCAAGGCAAACATGGATTTGTTTCCAGTAGTTAGGCGACCCAATCACACGAGATGACCCTCGCACCGGGCCAGGGGGACGCGATCATTAAGGGTACGACTCACATCCAGCTTCTTCAGCACGGGAGCCTCAATTCCAGCAAAAGGAAGGCTGGGTCAATGAGAACAGGGTGGCCCGCAAAGTCAGGATGTGCAAAGCACTGGAACAGGGTAACAGGATGCAACAAAGAACGTGCTCAAACGTTGCCCGGTAGTCTACCTTGTCCACCCTGAGAAAGTACTGTAAAGGAGTGCGAGTGGTGTGGCTGCTAGTATCACCTTTGGAACCCTCAAGAACTCAACCCCATAGACACAACCCAAAATATCGTTGAGTCGTTGAGTAATGTCCAGTACGCAATCTGAATCTCCACTATGAATGTCACTACTGCCCAAAAATGGATGTTGAATCACCTTCTGCACACGTCTGGGGGCCATGCATCTAAGCCTTCCAGCGATGTTAGCTGGTTGGTCGAGACAATCAGAGAGCGCAGGCCTCAGCCATACGCCGATACGCATGAAAACGTGGATGACTGAAAAGAAACATGTCCATCTAGCAACGGTAGTTACGAGCTACACTGCAAAGCTGGATTCAAACACTGGAAGACTACTCCAATCTGAGGTCTCTTCTCTTAAGGCAGCCCAAACCCTTGAGAGAGGTAAGCTGGTTCTCCTGGACAATCAAGAGGCGACTGCTAATGAAACGTTGTTCTTTCTACAAGTCAGATCCTGGGGCTGGTTGGGAGACAAAGAAATACATCGAGCGGGGTTCTTCTCCTATGTATAGTGATCATAAGTGTCTGTTGAAAAAGTACTACGATTTTCTGCAGCATAGAACTGGCACGGGCTGTCCTAGTTCAGTGTCGGAAGACGAGTATTGTGCAGAAGGCAGTCAGTTTGTGTGGACTCTGTATCAGTCGTCCTCCCAGAAGATGAGCCTCGGTCTGGAGCTCTTGCAGCTGATGCGAACACAAATTTGCATCTCAAACCTAGAACTAACAGAACTCCCCGGCCCCTTCTCACCACTCCAAAACAACACTTCGCGGTCACATTCTCCCAACACCACTGTCAATAAGAATATCTGGTATATCGGTCCATTCAACATCCCAGTCTCGGCAGTCTTCCCGGTCTCCTGGAGCTGCAACTCCTCCAAGATGGGATGATCTCCGAAGCCCTCCGCATCGGTCCAGACCCGCCGCTCCAACCGCTCAAACCAAACCACCCGTCAGCCCTGGTTCAGCCCTGGTTCAATCGCTTCGACTTCGACTTCGGTTCAGCCTGGTTCAGCCGATGCTTTGGAAAAACCAAAGAATGCCCCGATTCACCAGGGTTGCTGTGAAAGGAACTGTGTGGCGTTGCCATTTCGGCCCTTCGTTCAGCCAAAGTCTTGCATCACCTGCCGAGTCCACAATTTGTAGTTCACAGACGATCAAACAGCCTTCTCTACGAAACGTGCCTTTCCTTCTCTCCGACGACGGTTCCAACACGTCGGGTCCTTCTAGAACCGGTTCTTCACGCCCCCCACGACGAAACACGACGTCGTTCCACCTCCAGGGAGGTGATCTCGTTGGACGCGAAGCACGCGAATCTCAAACGCCCCAGGGCCGCCAAAGGCGGCACCACTGAGAGTTTGTTCACCGTGAAGTCAATCCTTCAGCGGACGTGCGAGCTCAATGGGAGTGTCCCAAGAGCTCAACCCTACAATGACCTACATAACTTTGGTTTCTTTCACTTGATACCAAACAACATCACCTCTGACCAAGGGGATGTCAGGCGTACTTCTGGTCCACCCTTTTCCACCCTTTTCTCTCGCATCCTCTCCAATCTAACAGGTTGCGCAGCGGAGCCGCGCCTTTGACACCATGGCAGGTCTGCCTCACCGAGACACTCCAGCGAGTTCACCTCAACGGTTCGGCCCTGGGGAGATGGGATTCAGACTTTCAAGTCTAAGGAAAAGTTGATGCCAGAAAAACATAGCTTTTCGTTAGGAATCAGAGTGATTTGATTTTGAAGGCCTTGTTTTCATTTCCTATTGCTCAACATCGCCGTCACGATAAGCTGTCTTTGAAGTATTCAATAGGTGCCAATATCACCTTTTGCATTGTTACATTGTTGTGCATATGTAAATGTAATGTTGATGGTATGAGGTGCCGATATTTCAAAATCTCATTTGTGATGATTTTAAACATGTTCCAGGGTAAATGTACAATGTATGAACTTGACATTGTCATCAAACAAACCATGCATGCTGGAACAGCACAGTGTGAGAGAATGAGTAGTTGTACCTGAACATGGTGTAAAACATAAAACGGTTCTTGTTGTTTTGAGTAATTCAACTTATTCGTTTGTTCTAGTTTTTGATATGTCTAGCCAAACTTCACCAACAACAATGTATCAGCAGTCTCACAGCCCGGGCCCAAATTCATTTTCCAGCTCAGTTGAGCTCCGGTTTGCCAGTTTTTGGCAACTGTGCGTCATTGCACCTGCAACACCTGGCCAGCACAAAAGGAAGATTCTCAAAAAAAAGGTTGTGAAATCATGAAATGACAATCATCTCCAAGCTCTTCTAATCCAATCAGAGCCCAAATACTCTGTTGTCATTTTTTTGTTCCTTCTCTTTGGTCTATGCAACAATGCGTGTGCATTGTATTTGCGCGGTGCACTTCACACAATTCGCCAAGTGACCAACACTAGTTCAACAGTTTTGAAGTGTCTTTGATGTTTGGCAACTAAAGAACAAATTCAATACAAGACATCCGTGTGTCTAGTGCAAAGCTTTGATCTATGAGCTATGAGTGAACAATTCACTTGCATTACATCTGTGCAGCACGCATTACACCAATTCGCCAGGTTACTACCCTCAAGATTGTCAACAAAAGGTGTGTTGATTGGTTGATATGTTTGTTTGTGCCAAATCGAACTCACAAAAAACTGAAAAACTATAAAAAAGATACATTGGTATTGTATCCGGTGCCAAGCTGTGCTGAACAGACTGAACATGTTGTCCATGCTGATGCCTCACTGACATACAGGCGACAAGGTATGACTCCAAGCTCTCAAACCAACGACACTTTCACTTCAGGAGATGAGACCCTATCTTGTAGATCTCCTGAACGTTCTTGTCGCTGGTGGACTTCGCTTTCTTCATCTTGGATGCAACCAAGCCTTTCTCCTGCAAATCTCTCGTCATGGCCTGCACACCAATCTTCATTGTAGATGAATCTGCACCACCACCTTCTGCGCTAAGGATGGCATCTGAAAGTGCTTTTGCTCGAGCTGACTTGGACTCAAACTCCACCTCAGTCTGCATTCGAGTTAGAGGCACTGATTCTGTATATTCAAAGCCGTCACCCTCAATCTCTTCATCCATGCACGTAGTAGCGAGCTTGTCCAGCTGCTTTGTCAGAGTGGATGTATCTTCTCCTTTTTTCTTCATGCTTTGAATCTTCTTGTTCAAACCCATGCGCTTCTTCTCAAAGCGAGCCTTTTTCTGTTGAACTGATTTCACATGCTGATCCTTCAGTTTCTCGATCTTGTCCTTCAAGTCATTCAGTGGAGCAATGGCATCCATTTCCTCAGCTACCAAAAACATTGCATCCAATAATGTATTATGCTTGGTTTCAGCAAATGTTTTATGCTTTAAGTTTATGAATTATTTGTTTGTCTTTTCATATCGGTTTGAGTCAACAAGTAACAGTAACAAATAACAAATATTCAATCATACTGAACTAATCAATCACAATTGTCATCAACCCTGCCTATCCAACCCTACTACTATTAAATGCAAACCATCACATCAAAATCAATGCAAGAGTCTGCAGTAATCTCAACAACTGGTGTATCTGTATCTGGTGTATCTTTTGGACGTTCCCATGACACACACAGATTTTGGACCGGCAGTTTGTCTGCACTCATTGAACCATTGCCGCCATCACGTTTCCACAAGTACATGACATCTGGAGCCTTCACAACTTCAAAGAAAGCCTGATCACCTCGAGTAACTGGAATAGACGCCCAAGCGGGAGATACTATATCACCAGTCAGCTCTGCTCCAAACTTGTGCATGTAAAAGTCGACCCCAAATACTGTGGCGAAGTGGAGGCTGTCTTTTGCTGGTAGCAAGCCAATAGGACCAGCAAATGGAATCCAAAGTTCACTTTTGGCTTTGTCTTTGTCAGACTGAATTGCTGCGGCAAGCTTATTGATATTCGCTCGCAACACATCTGATTTCTTCTTTTCCTGAGCAACAATTTCCCATCAAATAAATATTAAGACTATGAATATAGATCACAATATATGTAATCTTGTCAAACAGATCACAAAATGTCATCACAAATACTTAATGTTGTCTAATTAGTAGAAACATATATATTTGAACTTGAGTTGAGTAGCATTGATTGTGACAAAAAGCCATGATCCCACACCAGACTTCTGCACTTGATCTCGAAAGCGTTGCCATACCAATGCTTCCATTTGAGACTTCAAAAGCATGATGTCCAAGGTTGACAGTGACGTCAAACCAAGCGCCTTTGCATCTTCGCTATCACTCATGACTTTGGAGTCTTTCTCCTTGTACAGGTAGAGGTCAACCAAAGGACATGTAGTCGTTCCATGCTTGGTGGTCTCTTCCTGAGCCTATGGAGCGTCACCTTCAACCTGCTCTGCTTTCACTTCTCCATCAGCATGTGGAGGCCCGGCTGAGGCGGCAGCTGCCTAATCACTGGGTCAAACAAACACTTGGTCAAAGTGATATCAACTATGTGCACAGTCTGAATTCATAGTCTAACTAACTTAATATTTAATATTCAGATGTGTTTCTATTTGGTCGTAAGAAAACACAAATAAATATATCAACATCAAAAAATAAACATATTCTTTTGATTTACAAAGCCTCAGGTACTGTTGCTTTGTCATTTGGAGCTGACTCCTTTGTTTTGGAAACTGAACCGATGTCAAACTTTGAAAAGTCAGTGTCTTTGAGCTTCAGTTTGGACATAATGTACTTCACCACTTCATCAGGTGAATGAGCATGGGTGAATGCATCCGCCCACAAGGATGCCCAAGAATCAGTACTTGAGGTGATCAAGTCGATAGCTGCGAACAGCTGCATGCTAGCAGAATCCTTACCAATCTCAGAGCTCATGGCACCAAACATCTTGAAGCCAGCTTTGACCAACGTGTCCAACGCATCAAACTTGTTGCTAGCTTGCAGCGCTTGACGAACTAGGTGTTGAAGAGCTCTCATCCTCAAGCAAATGAACTCAGTCAGCCGTGTATTGCTCTGCCAGACCTGAATCATACAGTGTGACGTATGGCGTAAGGTCTGGTGTACCAGTGTACGGTCTACAGTGTGCAATGTGCAAGCAAGTTTAAACATACAACATGACAACATGTTTAGGCTGAATGGTCCTGAATGGTTGTTTGTTTGTTTTCAATAAACACAAGCACTATTGATGGCAAACATTACATGCATAGTGTATGCATGGATGCATGCTGCATAATGCATGTGTTTTGACGAGTCATGACTAAACTGTAATGTTTTGTAATGGAGTTCTTGCCTCATTGGACTTCTCAATGAAATGACCACCTTTAGCCACATATTGCTCAGCGCAGTCAGCTGCAAATCCAATCCACTGTGGTAGCAATGCCTGTTGAAGCGTGGTTTGAACCATGTTGAAGAAGTCGACCAAAGTAGCGTTTGACATCTCTGGAATATTGGTGAATCCTAGCCACAGCTCCCTGTGAACCGACAGCATTCCAAATGGCAAGGACATCTCTGAAGATAGAAACTTCTCCAAAGTAGCCCTTGGACTGTTTGAAGCATTGTTCAGCATGAACTGCGCAATACCTGTCATGAGGTAGACAAACACTGCAAACACTAAACCAAACACAGATGTGGTACAACAACAAAAACAACATTATTTCAAAAACATATGTGAAATCTCTGACAGTATACCTATCCAAACCACTAACATAAAAGGTTCAGATTACTATCAAGGTACGAACCACTCCTTCATCCTCCTCATCATGAATGATTTCCTTGACAGGAGCATTGACCTAACGGCTGCAAAGCTTTTCTGCAAGAGCTATGGGGTCGCTCTTGACAAATCCGCTTGAATGCGATCCAGGCCGACTTGTCTCAATAGAATCTGCTGCAATCTGAATGTGGCTGTTGATCACAAAAGCCATGAGCTCAAATCTCAATGCTGAATAGATTCGGAAGTTTTTTCCATTGATGCTCACAGATTTGGCAGTGACATTCAAGACAAATTCCATAAAAATACTCAAGACATAGGTCTTGGTCTTCTGCAAGGCCTGAACAAAGAAATTGACAATTGAATAAACCTTTAGACATTTAACACACATCACACATCTTAACACTCACCTAAACTCACCTAACGACTCACGACTAAGTGACCAAATGTCAAATATCAATGTCACTAAAATTATATATAATATATATATATACATATTTATCATTGATCATTGAATTAGCTAAGAACTTTGTTTACCTTTTTGACTCTTACAATTACGAGCTATTTGAGGATTTGAAGACTCTATGAGTCTATGAGGATGAACATGCAGTCCCTGGCCTCCTTGGATGATTGAGTTTGCTCAAGTCCTTGACGCTCATAAACTTGTGCCACAACCTGTTCTGCAAAGACAATGGATGCCAGCAAATCATCCAGAACTGTCTTTGGTCGAGACTCATCAGAATCAAGAGTCTTGGTGTGATCCTCGAACATTGTACATTCACACGCCAAAATATCTGACGGCTTGATCTGCACAGGCCCTTTTCCTGTAGATCCTGATGTTGATGCTGACATGTCACATAGCTTCTCAACCAAAGCCATCATTCCAAACCGAGTTGAGTCAGCATCAGCATCATCTTTTGCCACAGCTTGTTGTTGCTTCTCACTGCGTTCTTTGCTTGCTTGCAATTTGCGATAAGTTGCACTTGTTGCCATGGGAATGTTGACAACATTCAAGATGACGCTGTTCTCCTGTGGTGTCTTTCTCAAGCACCATTCCAGCGGCCGCTGACTACCTCTTGGCTTTGATGGCACCTAAGTCTGAAGTCCAAAGTCTTATTGAAGTTTGTTTATGTATACAGTGTACAATGTATACTGACCAATTGTCAATTCCAAACACACAATTTCACAATTTCATGAAAAGAATAGCTTAAACCATCAATACCACCATGAGATGCAAGCATACAGGCATACAGCACACAGTGACAGTCTGAGTCTAGAACTGTCAGCTTCAGAACTTCCAGCATCACTTCTGAAATTGTCTGCTTGTCATAGAACCGCTTCAAGGAGCTCAGAAGCACATTCACACAGGTGTGCATGGTGAGAACAGCACCTTGCATGTTCAGGTTGGGGTCCAGAAAGCTCATATGTGATTGACACCACTTCTTGAACGGAACATCAAGCTTGTACTCCTGAAGACGATGTCCCAATGCTTTGGAATGTTCAAAAGGCTTCCATGATACAAATCTGTCGGAGTTCTCAAGGAGGAAGGTCTCGTATAGCTTTTGATATGCTGACCTTTGTTCAATAAAAAAGAGTAAGACAATGCAAGTACAGCTGTAACGCAAATGCAACAGGAACAGCCACACATATATAGTACAATATAATGTATGTTAAATTTGCTACCCTGGATTGATTGGTTGTCAATTGTCAATTAGCTTTGGCTCATGTAACTTGAAGTGAGATAAGTGTCCCACGCGTTGGCTGCAGTGATGCCTCGTTCCTGACAATGAAACTGCCAACGCTGCTCAATCTCCAGGGCATGATCGACTATATCGAAGAAATTCACCCCTGATCCACCATGAGCCAAATTGTGAAGTCTGACCAGCTCACGAATACAATAGACAGGAGTCGAGGCAGATAGCATGCGACATGCTTTGAGGCCCGTGCTCAAAGTTTGAAGGATTGCTGGCGCCGTAGGTGCTTCCTTGACTGCACGGTATAGAGCTTCCCTTCTGTGGTTGAAGGTAATGGCAGCCACTGGCAATGATCCATCTTCTGATAGATGAAGAAACCAAGCGGTACCTCGAATAAATAGATTTATTGATACAAAAATTATAAGTACTTTTCAAAATATTCAAGTCCAATAAGTATAAGCAATCAAACATTTTTTTGACAGTCTGATAATGTTTATATATCGCAAACATTCAGATCAACTCAACTTCCAAAATATGATGTAATAATTTGCAATCAGGAAGCCAGCAATGTCTTGACAGTATCCGTCTCGAATCATTCTTGCCTGGTATTCTTCAACTGTAAGCTCCTGCACATTACACTAAAAGCCCAAACACTTTATGTAAAAACTCCAGAGTCTAGCTCATAGTGTAGATGGAGATGATTCTGATTGTTATGTATGATAATACTGATATTGTCAGCTTACTTTATAATATCCATCACCAAAATATAGGTACATAAATAACGATCAGTCCTGAAGTTGACGATTGTGCATTGAAGACACAATGCTTTGCTGTGGTGGGTTTGTTCCAGGGATATACCAAGGGATGTCCATCGTACCATCACCAAACCATGCAAAGATACGTTC